AGGATGCCATCCAGAGGGACCTTGACAGGCTGGAGAGATGGGCCTGTGAGAACCTCATCAAGTTCAACAAGGCCCAGCACAAGGTCCTGCACATGGGTCGGGGCAATCCCAAGCACAAGTACAGGCTGGGCGGAGAATGGATTGAGAGCAGCCCTGAGGAAAAGGACTTGGGAGTGCTGGTGGATGAGAAGCTCAACACGAGCCGGCAATATGCGCTGGCTGCCCAGAAAGCCAACCGTATCCTGGGCTGCATCCAAAGAAGCGGGGCCAGCGGGTCGAGGGAGGTGATTCTGCCCCTCTACTCTGCTCTCGTGAGACCCCACCTGGAATTCTGCGTTCAGCTCTGGAGTCCCCAACGCAAGAAGGACATGGAGCTGCTGGAGCAGGTCCAGAGGAGGGCCATGAAGATGATCCGAGGGTCAGAGCACCTCTGCTATGAGGACAGGCTGAGAGACTTGGGGCTGTTCAGCCTGGAGAAGAGAAGGCTCCGGGGTGATCTTATTGCAGCCTTCCAGTACCTGAAGGGGGCCTACAGGAAACCTGGAGAGGAACTTTTTACAAGGGCATGTAGTGATAGGACAAGGGGCAATGAATTTCAACTGAAAGAGGACAGATTTAGATTAGATCTAAGGAAGAAATTCTTCCATCTGAGGGTGGTGAGGCACTGGAACAGGTTGACCAAAGAAGCTGTGGATGCTCCATCCCTGGAAGTGTTCAAGGCCAGGTTGGATGAGGCTTTGAGCAACCTGGTGTAGCGGAGGGTGTTCCTGCCCATGGCAGGGCGTTTGGAACTAGACGATCTTTAAGGTCCCTTCCAACCCAAATCATTCTATGATTCTACGATTAATATTTCAAATTTTTAATATACAAAATCACCAACATCCTCGTGTTCTGCAACGGCAGTACAAATTATCTTAATTTCATGAAGCGTCACACTGAAGAGCTTCTGTTCTACAGAAGTAGAACGATCAACAAATGAAAACAGCAGCACTTCCAATCCTGCAACACTCCATATATTCATGAAAAAATCTAGTGAGTATGTCAATTACAATACAGCTATCATTTAAATACTTGCAGATGTTTGCGGACAAATGACTATTTCAGGCACATGAAGAGCACAGTTGTACGCAGCCGTGCTCGAGTCTGTGGCCCACGAACCATGTGAAGCTGCAAAGTGCATGAACTTGTTACCTAGCAGTCTGATTAGGACACTGCAAGAAATTTAAAAGGGTGACAGTAACCTACTGATCAAAAGAGTAGCTGCAGAAATCAAGATTCCAGAATTCCATTTGCCAATTTCACGTCTTTTTTAACCTCCACGTTTCATCAATAAACTGGATATATTTCATACCTGGATCTCCTAAGAGGCAAAATGTTTAACTACATAGTGTTTTATACCTTAAGGTAAAACTGGCTAGGTTTGGGAACCAGCTGTGTCTTTCATTAAGCGCAGAATCAGCTTGTCAAAAAGTGACTGGGATTCATCTAAAAGGAATCCGGTTCAGTGTAACTAAAGTAGAAGACACAATTCAGCCTGAAACACTGTTTTTATTAAAGGACCAAGCTGCTACTGTAAAATAAAATCCCAAAGCAGACAAACACAGCATGAAAGTTAGGTCCTCAGCACTCCACAGATCTCCTTTTATCACACTGCAACTCTTGCTCAGGCAGATACAGGTAATGGATCTCATTACCAGAAAAGTTTTTCTCCAACAGTTGTTTTGTTTTACCCTGTTGACAGGACTCCATTATACCAGTTTGAAAATGAAATGCGCGTAACTTTCTCCTACTGAACTGCATTAGGCACTACTAGTCAAAAGCCGAAGATTCAGTCTCTCCCAGTAACATTCTGGAAAGGAACTAGTTCGGCTGGGAACAAGTGGCGATACACACCTCCTTTCATTTTCAAGTAAAGACTGTTGACTGCTTTGCTGATGTAGTTTGTTTCCCCCTGAACTACTATCAGCTCGAGATACTACCAGCTGAAAGCTCTCTTCCTCCCAATATTAACGATACAGTTTAGCCAACTGTTCAGCACCAGAGACTGAAATGAACATTACAAAACTGTTTCAGTGATGGATTTCAACAAAGATCAATGTAGAAATGACTCCAGAGGTAGGTGATTAAAAAAATCCCTTGAACTCATCATAAAATGCAATCCACACATAACTAAAAAATGGATTTTCTTTTAACCTTTTCACCCTTTTTACATCCATCACTTGTTCTTCACAAATCATTTTTTCTGATGACAGGATACTAGAGTGAAGTCCTGGGAAAAAAGATACATTTAAACTAAAAGAATGTGGGAAAAAAAGCCAGCAAGATGTCACCACTCCAAGCATATGTGTGAACAAAACACAGAAAGAGGAAAAACACAGCGTCCTCACATATACTCCTGGATTAACCACCTCCACTGCTTATGTTCAAATAGTCTGGATTCCTAAGGTATATGCAGAGTTATCACACATCACCACCAAACCATAAGAATAACTTTGTAATGTTAAATGTTGTTTCATTCCTGCCCTCCAGTGAATTTGGGGGGTGATGTTTGCAATGCATCTTGGAGAAGAGAACAGACAGCGAGAACTTTCAATTGCCCTGATGGTAAGCATATGGTAACCACTTTAAATCAGCTTGTTTTCTACACTATTCTCTCTTTTCTTATGCTATATGCCAACAACATTAGCCATGCTCACTTTCAAGCTGATGATGATTCATCATTAGGTTACCTGCAGTCAACCCCACACAATTAACAGAGGTTATTTCTGTAAATAAAGCTCTTGCTTTTGTAGGTCCATTACACTGTGTTCCCTTTTTCTTAAAAAGACCAACATGCCAGAAGACTAAATAGGTCCTTTGTTCCACTGATCCCTAAGTAACTCTGCAGATTTGTTTGTTTTCAAGGATAGAGCACAGTGGCAGGGTAATGAGGTGGAGAAGGATGCTGCCTGAGCTTCAACTCCACAGACCTACCAAAAGCAACTAATCCACTGCCAAAGCAGCTGCCCTAATTAACAAGCTCTGGAGCAGGGAGGATAAATGAGCAGCCGAGTGGAAGCAAAGTCCTTACATAACTCACTATTTACAGGCCTTCTCTCACATATTACAAATGGTTCACTTGTGGAATGGGAAGGAGGGTAAGGCAAATAGAAAAACTTAATTCTGTGGTAGGTAACCTGTGACAGTACCAAACACAATAAAGTGGGTTCATACAGTGTGTTATACACCCACAAAAAAAGCATCCTAGCACTGTGAGCAAAGACGGTGGTCCCAATGGGAATGGCAGTGGGAAAAGTCAGTTCGTTCAATCATCTACCCTCCACTTAATTACTT